ATACGTCTAGTGATAACGAATATAATTAAGAATAAAAAGTTTAAGGACTTGTTTTACAAATAAATGCCCCATTTCATTAAGGATAAAAGTGACTTTTTAACAAAATTTTTAAAAAACTACTATTCATACGTCATTTTGAAAAATCCCCATGTAAGAGCTAAATGAATACTTTCATTTTGACCAAAATTTCCGTCAAAATCTTATACAGACACTATCAAGAAATCATTTCATACGGACAAGTTCATTAAATAGTTACAAAATAAGCAAGCAGTCCAGGTTAGGGTCGACCTAACCCATTAAAAAATCAAATCAAAACCAAATTGGTCCGTATAAAAGAGTTACAATAATAATTTAACCTAAATAGAATAGCTTAAAATATGACAATGTATTTATAATCAAACTATGAATAATTGTAAATTATTTTTTATATTACAGAATAAATATGATTATTTTTAAAATGATTCATGTCGTTAAGTGTACCCATTCTAAATTTCAATTCAATCAAATAATCTTTGGATACTAGTCATTTAGTTTCGCAAGCGTATAAATCGTGACAAGTAATAAAATGGATTTTTAAGTTAATATCGTCTCATAAAGACTGCTATCTACTGTTATTTTTAAACTAACTTACCTTCAATTTAAGTTAAGATGGTAACCAAATATCAATTTAAGATGAGACAAAATTTAATCAAATTAGGTTAAGAAAACTACGAGATTAAGCCCTTGTTTGACAACCATTAAAAAGAACTTTTTTGGGTAAAATGATTTTTGGAATAATGATTTTTTAGAGAATGTGTGGTTAAAAAGTAGGAAAAGTTTTTAATTTACGTGTAAAATATTTTATTGTGAGGATGTAGTGACAACAAGTTCGAGAAAAAAAAGAGTTTTGTAAAAATGGTTGTCCAACAGGGGCTAAGATTTTCGATTTTACTTAGGCCCTGTTTGATAACCAAGATTTTCCTTGGAAGTTGGAAATTTTTTTTCCATTTTCTACCTTTTGCACCGTTTGATAGCAAAGATTTTATCCAAAAAATGTTTTCCACCCCTACCCCTCATGCGCCCATTTTCCCACTTTTCAAGGAATTGATTTTCTTCTTGTTTTGGTGCTTTTTGTGTTTTCCAGCTTTTTTTTTTTTTTTGGCAATTGAAAAAAATTCAATCAACAATGGTAAATTCTTTTTTCTCTTTAATGGACAATTTTCATGCAAAACAAAGTCAAACGAATGGTATTCTGTATGGTAATTTTTTAAAACATTTTTTCACAATTGGAACAAATTCTAAACTCAATTGTAGAAAAAATTATTATTTTAATGGACGATTTCCATAAAAAACAAAGTCAAATGGATACCAAACTTTCAACATTTTTCAGGTGAAAAATTATATTAATCAAATACAATTAATTACAATTCTCGGTAAAACAATTTCTAAACAATTCAATTCTCTGTAATTCATTTTCTTTCCACCAATTTTCTACTTTTGCAATCAAATGAACTCTTGTTGTCAATATTCATCTCAACTAAGGGTGAACGTGATTCCATTTGATCTTGGTTCCAAGAGAACCGAATCGAACCATGAATCAATGATTTTTTTGATAATGGAACCAAATAGTTTTTTTTTGTAAGATGCGGAACCGATCCGAACCGAACCATTTGGTTCTAGTTCGGTTTTGTCTGGTTCTAGTACTATTACTTAAATTTTCAGACTTATATCATATCCATAAGTTACTAATATGCACTTAAATAAAAAATATAAGTATCAAACATTTAACAAGTTCAAACTATCAATAATCAAGATCATACAAATCCAAACGAACAAACAAAATATAAACGAATAAGTCATTGCGGAAGTTAATAATATCGAGTTCCATTTTCATCCTCCGTTCAATCAACTCCTTTACACGAAGTCGTTAGACCTACATGAGAAAATTGAAATATGGAACTGAAATATAAAG